CCTGAGTGGTGGGAGGACTGGAGCTCCTGCCAAGCTTTTAAACCTCGCTTTCAGGAGAGCGGGATGTAAAACCAGTGTAAATTGCTAAAAAGCTGGGTCTTTTTGCTAATAAAGTCACTGAAGCAGGTAATGATTTAGCTGGCCAAGGCAGGGTAACACACAGGGCCAGGCTGGGACGCCACCTTCTCCAGAATCACTCTAGATCCCTGATCTCAGTCATTTTAGTGGGATGGTGGAAATGCTAGGCTGGATCCTGCTGCTGCTGCTCTAGTCTGGAGCAGTGAGGGGAAGGCGGGCCAGCAGGAGAGGGCAGGGTTGAGGGGGTGCCCAGCAGCCTCCCAGGTCCTTCTGAAGGAAGGAAAGGGGAAAAGCAGGTGGGTGTTGGTGCTCAGCCCCTCCACGAGGCTTCAGCCCTCCCTCTCAGGATGAGACCAGGGAAGAAGACAGCTAGGAGAGAAATAGTGGTGGGGATAAGATAGATTTGTGTTTTCTCTAGGGTCTGTGACATCCGAGTGCTTCTCCAAACACTGCCATCAATATTTAATGGGATGGAGCCATAGTAGTCCGGCTTAGGCTTAGCACAGTTCCCAGCCTGGCTGGGACAGAGGGGGGCAGGCAGGGCTGCCGAACCGGGAGATCCTTCCCCCAGGCCCTCTGAGCCACACGCCACAAGGAACGGCTCTGTGGCCAGGGCAGAGCCTTGCACCCTCTGCCCAGGCGCTGAGAACAAGCACAAAGCTGGCTCCAAGCACCTCAAAACCCCGGCCTGGATGTGGGAATCATGAGAAACGCCCCTCCTTACTTCACCAGATCCCAGTTTTAACTCATGGAAGAGACGCATCTCCTTTTGGCAAGAGCAAAGGGGGACTCAGCAGGCACAGAGCACCCCGGCTCTGTTTGCCAGTGGTGGGGGGGGAAGTAGGAAGGAGAGCTGCAGAGCTGGGGCCTCCCTCTCTCCAAATAAAACCCCAAGCCCCGACCCACATGGGAACACCCAGCACCAGTAGCCTTACAATTCAGCATTGAGATGGCGAGCGCTAATGCAGAGTCACGGTGAACCACTGCTCTGGTGTTTGGGGCAGCGAGCAAAGGGTTAACATCCCACAGCAGCACTAAGCAACCGAGGGAGCAAAGGGTTAACGTGGCGGGTGCAGGGAATTTTCTGTCTCTTCTCTAAATATTATTTCCTCCCATGAAACCAGCTTTTCATCCTTGGCTAGAGGCAGCTCTCCCCGCTTGGGAACCACACAC